GTAACATCATGGAAATGGAATGTGGGTATGAAATCTCACCCCTAGCTGAGAAGATATTGGCAAGTGATGGCCTCTGGTCAGTTTTCTTTAAGGATGCAGCCCCAGAGAGGCTACCTATAGGCTTAGATATTTCAAAACTTATTTTAATAAGGATTCTCAAATGCTTCAACCCCCTTCTAGCCCACTAGGGGAGAAAAGATGGTAAATAGGACAAGGGCATGTGGACCTGCTTAGAAGTAGTTCTTTGGGGGTGATTTCAATATCTGTTGTCAGGATACCAGCTGCCCACTTCAGTAATGTCAGGTTACCAAACATGAATCAGTAGTAGTGGTACAATCCAGTAGAAACAGCCAGGTCTCCTCCTAATCAGCACAAAACAGCAGGAACAACCAAAACCAGGGGACACGAGGAGTTCTCTGCTATGCTTCTCTCAGTGAAATGAAGATCAGCGAAGACATGAAATCAATGAAATGTTACAAGGCTAGCTATGCAAGCACCCTGTTACTGTCAGTTGAGTCCTATTTATACTCTCTCCAAACATCACATATCCTCTCATGGATCTTTCCTCAGCCAAACACCATATGAGTCTACCACAGCAAAACATCATGTAAGTCTGCATCACATGACCCAAACATCACATGATATCGATATCTCCACTTTGAGCTGGAGGGATGGCTCAGTGGTTAAGAGCACTGACTGTTTTTCCAGAGGTCCTGAGTTCAATTCCCAGCAACCACATGGCAGGCAGCTCACAACTGTAACTCCAAGATTTGGCACCCTCACACTCAGACATACATGAAGGCAAAACACCAATGCACATGAAATAAAAATAAATGAATAGATATTTAAAAAAAGAAACTTCCACTTCAGCTACTCTTACTTCAGTAGATAGTCTTACACCTATACCCATATTGGCAATGCTGGAACACATTAAATTGAGAGGAAATAATTGAGATAGAGTGGAGGTAGAAGAGGAATTGGGACAGAGGGAATGAGGTGTGAACTGGATCAAAACACGTTGCGTGAATGTAGAAGCATCTCATAAATTTAAAAAAAAAAGAAATAATCACAAAATTATCACTAATAATTCTCTTGTACCGACTTTCTTTCATGCCAAGTAAGATAGAAAGAGAAATATTCAGTAGTTTTATATTTATATTGATGAATCAGCAACGAGAGAGAGAGAGAGAGAGAGAGAGAGAGAGAGAGAGAGAGAGATTAGATTCTTTGCCAGTCAAAACTTACTTGGATTGGGAAGAAATGCTAACTGTTCTTTAAATGTTATTGTAAAGAGAAAGACAGTTGACTTAGAAATTAAGCTCAATAGAGGTTTCTTAGATTGATATGAGGGTACATCTCTATAATACTAGCATTTGGGAGGTAGAGTCAGGAGGATCAGGAGTTCAGATAGATTTATATGGCAAGTTCTAGACTACCCTGGGCTACATGAAATTCTGTATCAAAACAGAAAGAGAGAGAGAGAAAGAGAGAGAGAGAGAGAGAGAGAGAGA